AGTAGCAGGGATATCAGAGTATAAGGGCTCTAGTCGGGGGAGGGAGGCTATGGGAGGGTGCTATCTGGGAAGTGGGTGTAAAAAAAATAAATTAATTAAAAAAATAAAAAAATTCTTCAAAGGAGAAATAAAAAAAAAGGCACACCATTGGGCGTGTCTTCAAGAGATTTTTCAGGGAGGATTAAGGGAGACCTTGCCCTGAATGTGAATGGGACCATCCCATGGACTGCTATCCAGGACTGAATAAAACGGAGAAAAAAGAAAGAGCCAGCTAAGTGCCAACATTCATGTCTAGTTTAGGGTTTTCCAAGTTAAAAGTGAGCTGCTGGTGAGGGAGGAGGGCTGCACCCTGTCTGGTCCCTTCTGCTCCGGTTCCCAGTTTGCTTCTGGAACCATTAACTTCTTTTCTAGAACAGTTCTACCAGAATGTTCCTTAGAGGCAGTGCTCTAGCAACTTGGTTTTCATCCATTGGGCTGTCTTGTTTATCTTTTCATGTTTGCTTTGTAGCCCTAGTGGTTTGATGCTACTCGAATTAGCTGGCTGATGCTGGAGCCATCTGTAACCCACATCAACCCTGGTGCTTTGAAGTTCAATGTACAATAAAACGTTCATTAAAAGATGCGGAATCATGAAAATGAAGTTACAGAAATGTTAACCAAGGATCATTTCCTGCTTCCTGTCTTCCTGTACCATCCTTAAAAAAATGCTCTGAAGAATTTATGTCACCATGAAAACCATGGGAAAGTTAAGGAAGGGCAGGGTTGAAATGAGGGTAGGACGAGGGTGGGATTCCTAAGGAGAGAGGTTGGCAGAGGCCCAGCCTGGTTTGTTTTTTTTCCCCATTGAGAACTCAAGGTCTAAGAGAAGAATTTAATCCATAAAAAAGTAGAAATGGATCTAGAATTCTTGTGACTGGTGGTTCAAATTCAGCATTTTATTTTCTTTTTTTAAGACAGGGACTCATATCCCAGGCTGGACTTGAATTTGCTATATAACCTGAGGATGACCTTAGACTTTTGATCCTCCTGCCTCTATCTCTCAAATGCTGGCATGTACCACTGTTCCTGGCTAATGCAGAGCTGGGGATCAAACACAGAACTTCATGCATGTTAGGGAGGCACTCTATGAACTAAGATACATACCCAGCCCCTGAATTCAGAGTTTTTAATACAAGTGACTCCAAATGGCTCGCCATAGCCCACAGGGCTGCAGCCATGTAAGAATGCCAGGAATTACTGGGCTCTGACTTCCAGGCTGGTGACTGGTGTTGGAATAAGCCTCCTGTCCACTTAAGAGGAGAGTAGAGAGGGAGAGAAGAGAAAGAGGAGAGCAAAAACAAAGGGGGTCACAGGGATGTGGTGGCTGATCACTAAAACTGCCCTGTATACTGTTAGTGGCTTGATCACTGTCACGGTGGTCAACACATTGTTGACTTTGCTAAGAAGTTGAGCTAGGCTTCTCCCTTCATGCCCTGTGATTCTAGAGGGCCTTCCTGTTGTTAAAGGAGGAGCAGTCCCAAGTGACCTTCCTGGTACATACATTGTCACTTGCCAAATAGGGGCCAGCACCTTTGCTTCCTGGCAGCCTGCTCCACCTTCAGGTCTGGAAACACATATACACACACACACATACACACACGCATGTACACACACGCACACACAGAGGCATATTGAACCTTGGTATCCAAAACAACAGGCAGGGCTGTCATCTCAGAGTGAGACGAACTCTTCTGTGGGGAACATTGTGCTTTTACACAAATACCTCTATGCCTGGGCAGAGAACAAGCTTTCACAGAGTGTATACTCAGCAGCATCTTTCAGGCCTCTGTTTTGAGAGACAAGTCTCCCTAGAGACTCTCTCGAGTGCATGACCATTGATGACCACTTAATTACTACTTGTTTTGATAGTAAGCAATATGCAACTATTTCTTGCTTTCCGCTAGAGGGTCACTGCACATGCACTTACCAGCCACTAAATCTTAGACTTAATGATGACAGTCCCAGATCCTACCAAGTGACCACGAGGACTTCAACAGGTCTAATGTCTAATAAGTAGCACTAGGTGGTATTCTGGACTGTGCAGCCAGTTCCACTCAGGTCTAGACTTACCCTCTCTCTCGAAGCCCACCTAAAGTTGAGTGTCATGAGTTCTGCGAACCTCTGCTCATATAGGTGAAGTAGCAGCACCAGGTACAAGCCTGAATTCATCAGCTCATTCTGTGCCTACATATGGAGAAAAAGCCTGTAAGTTCATCTACAAAATGCTCATGGGCTCAGCCATGGGGTGGAGGGTAGAGATGAGAAAGGGAGGAAGGGCTCAAGTCCAAGGCAAAGCCTGCCTTTGGGGACCAGAGGACAGAGCAGGAGGAGGCCCAGGGTGGAAGACCACAGCCATCCTCCTGTAGTTCTCGGCTACCTAGTGGAGGATGCTCTAAGAAAGTTCCATTTGCCAGGCTCAATCTCATTCTGCAGACATCTGAGAAGCTATGTATACTTAGCCTTGAGCCCAGGGTTGTGGGGAGCCCAGGGTAGAAAGCCTAGAGCTCACTGCCAGGAACCCATCATCTGCTAAAGTATTGCTACAGCAAAGAAACCAGTGACCAGCAGACTGGTTGAGTGTGACCTTGGAGGGGGCTGTTTCTGATGGTAGGTACCTGGAAGGTGCTAACGGATGGGGGGCAGGTAGGGAGAGCAGGTGGTGGAAAGAGCAGGGCATGGAGTGGGTAAAATTCTCTTCTGGTTGGTATGGCTGGAATATATGGGCAGGTGACTTTTTATTCTTTGAGAGTTTCATACATGTATATATGTATTTTGATCATATCCACCCCTCACCCTCTTCATCCTATTCCTTCCTAAATCCCCCACATCCCCTTCCCAATTTCATATCCTTTTCTTGTCTATCTATCTATCTATCTATCTATCTATCTATCTATCTATCTATCATCTGTCTGTCTGTCTATCATCTATCTATCTATCTATCTATCATTATTTATCTATCCATCATCTATCTATCTATCATCCATCATCTATCTACTATTCTATCATTATCTATCTGTCTATCTATCTATCATCTATCATCTATCTATCTATCATCTATCTATCATTATCTATCTATCATCTGTCTGTCTGTCTGTCTGTCTATCGGGACAATAAATCTATATTTATGTCTGTACTCATCTATCTATCATCTGTCTATCATCATCTATCTATCTATCATCTATCTATCTATATCTATCTACTATCTATCTATCTATCATCTATCTATTATCTATCTATCTATCAATCATCTGTCTATCTATCATCTATCAATCAATCTATCTATCTATCATCATCTATCTATCTATCTATTTATCTATCTATCTATCTGTCTATCATCTGTCTGTCTATCATCTATCTATCATCTATCTATCTCTATCTATCATCTATCTATCTATCTATCTATCTATCTATCTATCTATCATCTATCTATCTAATCTTTTTTATAAAGCCCTGAGTCCAATTAGTGCTACCCAAATGGGCATGAGTGTAGGGTCATCTGTTGGAGCATAGACAGCCCATCAGAAGCCACACTCTTGAAGAAAACTGACTCTCCCTGAGCAGCCATCAACTGCCAATAGCTCCTAATCTAGGGGTGGGGTCTTGTGAGCTCCTTCCCAATCCATGCTGGTGTTTTAGATTTCTACAAAGCTTTGGCACAGGCTGGGGAGATGGTGAATTGGGGACCAGATTAGGCAGAACCAAGTAGTTTGGGTACTGTGTGTGTGTGTGTGTGTGTGTGTGTGTGTGTGTGTAAGATATCTTTGAGCAGGATGGATATCTGAGGGCATGCTTTACAATCCTGACACATCTCAAGCGGGTTTCATTTTCCTTGGCTCCTTTGCCTAGAGAAAAGGTTCCAAACCCCAGTTCTGTACAGTCCCCCCTTTCTACCTGGGCTTAGTGGTAGGCTGTCCTGAGCCTTCTTCCTCCAGCTGGTCTAATCTCATTTGCCTCCCTAGACAGGGCATCCAGTGAGGATCTCAGTGGCATTGGGGACTTTGGGGCCTTTGCTCAGGCTTTCTTTGGTTTGTTGTTTTCAGGCATCTGTTTTGAATACCGTTCTTTTTCCTACCTGGCCATGTCCCCAACTTCCTTTCAGCTGTCACAGGTGTCACCTCCTGGGGGAGCCTTCCTGATGACCCTCATTTGACTCTCTTGGCTCCCAAACATCTGTCTTTACTTTGTGCTGCACATCTTGCGTTTGTTAATGCTTCTGCTTTTTTTTTTTTTCAGTAGGTGGGCTGTGTTTTCTCCTCCCTGATGCTTGGAGCAGGAGCTGTCTAGGGAAGGTCTGGCTGTCTGGCCCCTCTGCCCGTCTTTAGCTCCCTGGCTGTGCTGCAGGGCCCTTCCTGGATCTTCAATAATCAACAGAACTAGTAATGACTTCCCTCTACAAGGAAAGGAGGAGAACGCCCTTTTGTTACTTGTCCTTGTGCCAAATCCCATGGGCACACGTGTGTGTGTGTGTGTGTGTGTGTGTGTGTGTGTGTGTGTGGCAGGGGGTTAGATGGATCAGCTTATGCTCTGGGATCCACCCAGCCCCTGCAGAGGGCATGACCCTTTACAACAGCCCTGGGAAGGGTCAGAACTGTGACTATGTCCAGGATAACAAAGCATAGACTTGACACGGTGGCCGTCTCAGGAGAGTCATCTTCTTCCTGAGGAGCTTCTTTGCTGGCCATCCCTTCCTGTTCCCACTAGATCAAGGACAACTCAGGAAGCTGGCACAGAACACATGTTCCCCAGAACCAAATGGCTGCCAGGAAAGGCTCAGAGGCTGGGCAGGATCGATGCACCCTTCCTTCTGTATCTGGCCATTGCCGGTTCTTGCTGCGACACTCGACCTCAAGGTCAGTGTGTGAGGCCTCTGCGCTGTCCATCTTCAGAGGCAAAACCACTGTCTTTTGCAGATAGGCTTCTATTATTGGCCCTTGATTTTCTTTTTTCTTTGCAGACCTTGCTCTAAATCAAGCAACTTGCTTGTTTTCAGGGTTTCCATTTTATCTGTCTCCTTTCACTTCCCCCAAGAGTCTATGCCTGCTGCCTCCTTTCAGGATGGTCTCCAAAGCTGCCTCCTCTAGGAAGTCTTCCTAAATGTGTCTTTTAATTCCTCCACCCTAGCCAAGCCTATCCCTCACTGGTTGTCCTGGCCGAGAGTTTTCTCTCTTTGCCAGGGGGCCCTTTCTGAGCAGACTCTGGCGCAAAATGGCAAACCAACCAGCTAGAAAATGGCTTGGAACGTTCAGGTTTGTCAAAGCATTCAGGGAGATCATTTACTTTTTATGACTCAATAAGGCCCGGAGGCATGCAAATGGGAAAATATCCACTAATGTTTTCTGCAGATAATTTGAAAAGTCACATCTAGCAGATTGCCTCTCTTCTCTGTTCTGTGGGAGGGAACCTGTCACATGGAACCATAAATCTCCTGGCCTTTCTCCTTTTCAGAATGAGATCCTGACATGGGCTCCACTGGCCAATCAGAGAGGGCATTGGTAGGTGACCCAGAGTCACCCTTTCTACCCATAATCCACAAGTAGGAGAATCTGTTCACTGAAACAGTTTCTTCACAGGGGCCCATGGACCATATTTTGGGGCCTTATTTATTGGAGTGACCCTTGACCCGATCACATCACACTCTGCCTCTCATGTGGAGTTCCATCTGTCACCAGACTGAAGGGCTGAGGGCAGAAGAGCAGTGATGACCCTCAAAGAGGCAGTGAACAACCGTTCTAGAGAGTGGCTCTTCCTACGAGCCGCTTTTCTCTTTTTCCCCTGTTCCTCATCCTTTGTTTTCTTTAAAATTCTTAATTTATTATTGCACTTGTGTGTGTGCATGTGTGCATGGTGTGTGTGGGAGGGTGTGCATGCTGCAATGCACTTATGGAGGCCAGAGGACAACCGTGTGGTGTAAGTTCTTGCTTTCCACCTTCACCTGGGTTCCAGGGATCAAACTCAGGCTGCTAGGCTTGATGAACCATCTAGCTTTCCCTGCCTTTGTTTCCTCCTTCCTTTTCTTTCTTCCTTTTAGAAAAGGTTTATTTTATGTGTATGCATGCTTTGCTTGTGTGTGTGTGTGTGTTGTGTGTGTATGTGTATATATGCACCATTTGCATGCAGTGCCCACAGAGGCCAGAAGAGGGCATTAGCTCCCACTGGAGCTGGAGTTACAGGCAGTTGTGAGCTACCATGTGGGTGCTGGGAACTGAACCCATGTCCTCTGCAAGAGCAGCCAGTGCTCTTAACCACCGAGCCATCTCTCCAGCCCCTTCCTTTGCTTCAGTAGTCTTTGTGGTCAAGAGATTTGCTAGTATGGAAAGTCTCAGCTTCCAGGTAGTGCCTGGGAAGATGCTGAGAACCTGGCTGACTCTTTTACTGTCTTCAAGTTCATGTTCTGGAGATGGTCGCAGGCCTGAAGGTGATTAGGTGCCTGCATGTGTCAAAGGACATCTGTCCTTGGCTGAGATAGAACAAGGCAGGGCCTGTGCTATACAGGAATGACTGCCAGAGGCCACCAAGACCCATTTGTGTGCCAGAGCAAACATGGCAGGAGCGCATCTCTGGGAGACAGAGGGCGTGGTTCTGAAAGTGCTGAGGGTAAGATGGACAGCCCAGGGCCATGGGATACTATGACTTTAGGTAAAAGATTTTAGTTGTACAGTGCGAGAATAACTCCAATTTATAAAGGGGGACAGGTAACCTCTGTTCTGCCTGTTTCCTGCAGGCGTTATGTAAATTGAGCTAACACAGGTGGCCCTGATACTTTGCAAAACAAATATATCCTGCAGGAGGCAAGAATTAAAGGTAGGATTCCAGGTACATTGTCTGTGCCTAAGGCCTGTGGACCACTTGTTTGCACCTGGACTTCTGGTGCCTGGCCCAGTGCCTGGGGCATAGTGTGCTCAGTAAACAGTTGCACAGGTGAAGCAACAAAAACAGAAGGTAGAATTATCCGTGTGCCTTGTTCTGACCCTCCCATGCTGTGCTATTGCTTCCCTTCTCCATTAGAAGGCTGCTGACTGTTGGTCTTGGGTACCCTGGTAATTCCCAGTACTGTGTGTGACATACAATAAATTGCTCAATAAATTTTTGTGTGTTTGAAATGGTCTTCTTGTAGCCCCAGTTGGCCTAGAACTTGCTATGTAGAGCAGGCTGCCCTTAAACTCATCAGGGATCTGCCCTTCTGC